AGTCGCATTCTGTTGAGAAGGCGAAAAAGTTTTTGGAAGATTATTTATACTTACATTTCTATTTTCTTCTGAAAGTGTCCGCAGTCGTTGTGTGCGTTCACTAGATAAGAACGCACGGTGTGATTACACGTCTGCCAGGGCGTCAATGCGTGGGATTCCAAGTTCTTCGTGGACGTCCACGAAAATTTCGCGCAAAAGTTGTGTGTCCGTTGGTAGTCCTTCGGCTGCTAGTATTAAAGTTGAACTTGTTTTCGTTATTCCGCGGACACATACTGAAGGCGGTTGGTTACGCAGGAAAGACAGATAGGTTCACACAGTATCCATGATTTTAGGGTCCCGCAGGCGTGCCTTCTAAAAGCGTCTGTCGCCGGCTGCAGATTGTTTCGTAAGCCTTACGACAGGTGAACGCATTGGGTGGGTCAGGCTTTTCGGTGCGGTAAGGGTTAATAGTTTCCCCTTTTCGAAAATTTATAAATTTCGGTGTACAGCTTTTACTGGGTGGTCCAGAAAATTGTATACGTGCTGCGGCTAATAATTCTTTGTCCAGGGGTAATGATGTTGTTGTTGTTGTTGTTGTTGTTGTTTTTGTTGTTGTTGTTGTTGTTGTTGTTGTTGTTGTTGTTGTTGTTGTTGTTGTTGTTGTTGTTGTTGTTGTTGTTGTTGTTGTTGTTGTTGTTGTTGTTGTTGTTGTTGTTGTTGTTGTTGTTGTTGTTGTTGTTGTTGTTGTTGTTGTTGTTGTTGTTGTTGTTGTTGTTGTTGTTGTTGTTGTTGTTGTTGTTGTTGTTGTTGTTGTTGTTGTTGTTGTTGTTGTTGTTGTTGTTGTTGTTGTTGTTGTTGTTGTTGTTGTTGTTGTTGTTGTTGTTGTTGTTGTTGTTGTTGTTGTTGTTGTTGTTGTTGTTGTTGTTGTTGTTGTTGTTGTTGTTGTTGTTGTTGTTGTTGTTGTTGTTGTTGTTGTTGTTGTTGTTGTTGTTGTTGTTGTTGTTGTTGTTGTTGTTGTTGTTGTTGTTGTTGTTGTTGTTGTTGTTGTTGTTGTTGTTGTTGTTGTTGTTGTTGTTGTTGTTGTTGTTGTTGTTGTTGTTGTTGTTGTTGTTGTTGTTGTTGTTGTTGTTGTTGTTGTTGTTGTTGTTGTTGTTGTTGTTGTTGTTGTTGTTGTTGTTGTTGTTGTTGTTGTTGTTGTTGTTGTTGTTGTTGTTGTTGTTGTTGTTGTTGTTGTTGTTGTTGTTGTTGTTGTTGTTGTTGTTGTTGTTGTTGTTGTTGTTGTTGTTGTTGTTGTTGTTGTTGTTGTTGTTGTTGTTGTTGTTGTTGTTGTTGTTGTTGTTGTTGTTGTTGTTGTTGTTGTTGTTGTTGTTGTTGTTGTTGTTGTTGTTGTTGTTGTTGTTGTTGTTGTTATGGTTATGATTGAATACTTTCTGGTGTTATCTTTTCTGTTGCTTGCGTCTTCTTATTGCTTTTTCTTGCTTTTTTTTCCTAAAGTCGACGTCGGCGTCAAATTCTGTCTAGTCCCTTTTCCATATTTTTTGGCTTTCTATGATACGCCAGCTGGACGTGGGTTCTTTAGTGACATTCTGCAATTCAATTTCTAAGATATTGTAAGTGTTAGGTATGGTGGTGTGTGTGGTCGACTTAGTTTTTGTCAATTCTTCCATGTGCGACATTACATCGCATGCTAGGCTGGCATGTGATTTCGCCAAGTCATTCTTGAGTGTAGTAATTAATTGCGGTAGTTGGTTTATTGAGTGCGATGTTATTTTTGTTACTGCAGCTACTGCTGCTGTTGCCGCTGATTTGGCTGCCGCTTCCACAGCTGTGCAAGTGTCCGAAGGTGTGTCCAAATGTGATGAAATGGCATTTTTCATTTCCGTAGCAAAAAGTTTGTTGCTGCTAGCGACGTTCGATATGCTGTACTTAATGTCATTTAGCATTTTTTCTACATGCTCAAGTGCATCGTCGTGGGTCGCACTGAGACTTTTGAAATTTTGTTGCAGTTTGTGGTTCGCTTCTAGTGAATTTCCAATGTTTTCCGAGATGCCGTTTAGGGATTTAGTCAGTGCCTTCAGGTTAAATTCAGTTATGAACTGATCCTGACAGTCCTGACAGAGGGGTAACATGAAGGTCTGCAAAATGTCTTCATGATTCCTCTGTGCGCCTACGCAAGCTGCGTGGAATGTCCGGTTGCAGGTTCCATGGCAGCACCATAGGAAGCGATTGTCACTCTGCACACAGTTTATAATTCCACACTTCATTACACTCGCGTCGAAAGAGATACTTAAAAGTGCTTACGCGGGGTTTCACGCGCGGGTCAGTTAATAATAATTTTAAAAAAAAGTTTAATTAAAAAATATAACGCTGCGAAAGCGCGTCCGAACGCAAAGGTGGTTCGTTGTGGAAAAAAATGATACCTCTATGGAAGTATGTATGTATGTCTGTATGTATGTAAAGGATACCACTCATTGTTGCAAGGCACAGCCATTAGACAGTGGATCATCCTCCAAGTATGACTTGATCAAGTACGATACCTGGTTGTATTCAATTTACCATTGTAAGAAGGGCCAAAAACGGAGGGGCGGACCCGTAAGCAGATACACTTACGCGCAATCCGCGGGATCAGGAGAATCGCCTTCCAATGATAAAATCCTACAACCCGATGTAGAACAAGCCATCATACGAGGGAACGTCCCAATGAGTGGGGAGAAGAGCCCGCCTTCAATTCACGAAATGTTAATGACAGGGAGTTGGCAATTCCACTCTCCCCATCCAAATCGCTTCAATCCGGTGCCCTGGTGGTCCCATCCCTCCCCTTTGCATTTAATGTGTGTATATATATATATATATATATATATATATATATATATATATATATATTTATATCGGCATTACCCGTTAGATTTTGTCAACACAATTTTGACTTCTTAGCTTTTCAAAATCTTTAATAAATGCAAATCTTATCATTTGACCTATTCCGCGAGTCGTGCGAATCTCCACCACCAATGAGTCAACAAAAGTCACGCACTAGTGGGGTGACTCTCCGTGCAATCAAATGAAGAGTCACCTCACACGAGGCGACCACCGTCACCCAACTAGCGACAGAGAGCCATACTACTCGCAGAACAGGCCTGCAGGTGACGTTTAAAGCTCCACAGTTTTACTGAAAATCTAAGAAAATTATTAAACAGAATTTAATAATATAACTGCAGAGCACAAGCAGTTTAAATATACTGAGGACGTGTTGCCAAAATCGAACGGATACTTTATATCCGATCACGATCCTTTACAACATTTGGCCGACCTACACCAACGCGCATCATCGCAAACACTCAGCACTTTCTTCCTCTTCACTGAAAATGATACCTCTATGGAAGTGGCCAGAAACTGGCATAAGCCAAATTAATCATACGACACACAAACATTCAAGAACAAGATCATTGGCCCATATTGAACACCCAAAACTTGTGCCCCGGTGAAGTTTCCAAGATGTGATATGAGTCAAAATCCACCGTGCGACATGCTCATATCAAGAGCCACATGTGAAAAGGGCACGAAAGTTTTTTTTTATAAACAAACATTTGTGGCTCTTTTCTCGTCAACTAAGGGTCACCTACGCAAAACAACAATATCATCGGGAAGGGGAATGCTTCTGCTGCCCGTTAATGTTGATGGTTTGCGTTGCTGTCATATGGGTGGCGAGAAAAGGGCATAAGAAGGTTTGTTTACAAAAAGCTTGGTTGCCCTTTTCACATGTTGTTCTTGATATGAGAATTGAAGAACATGATCGTTGGAAGCGGCAAAAATCCATCATACACGTTCGCATTCGCATTTGCATTAAGCAAGTTGCATACATTCGTAAGCTGCTACAAGTCCTAGACCATTGTTTTGAGAATATTGCCACCTCCGTCTGTTACCGTATTGACCAAGATTTGGGATTGGTCTCGGCCTCTTAGATGGAAGTAGAACTATTTCCAACAATCCAAAACTGTCCTGGTCACGTCCTTCAACTACTAGGGATGGGAATGATGGTTAGTTGGACTGTTACTTAAGAGATATGCAGTGAACTCTACGACCTCTCGTAAGTTTCACAATTCGGTAAACATTGCTGCCAGATTTATTTATTAGCAATGTCTAATACTAAAATGAAATAAAAAATAGACCAATGTAAAACCTTATAGGGGTGACATTGAGCCAAAATATAAATATGATTAAAATATGTAAATGAAACGTAATAATTAGGAGTAATATTGGTTATGATCACAATGTACTTCGTATGCATGATCCCTTGTCTATCCTCATAAAACTGTGTTCAAGCTTTTATTTGCCTATGAACAGTTTTAAAAACGGGTTTTTGCAACTATTTATGACACGTAACTTTTCATCACTATTTAAATAAAACAACTGGTTAATGTTATCTACACTTTACTTCAGAAGCTCAAGAAACATATTCTAGACATCATTTTCTGTATATCCAAGATATTTGCATAAATAAACATTTTTCAATGTTGGCCCAATGTCCCGTCTTACGGTATTATGGAAAACATCCAATTTATCTGTAAGCACACCGAATAAACTTGTGTTTTCCTTTAGTATCATTACTTTTACATGACAAATAATTGAATAGCTCCAAAACATTTGATGAGCATTTCTTATTGTTTATAGTTTTACACACGACAGGTCAAAAAGATGTATGAATAGCAGGTATGTCTACCACTGCATGTATCGGTATATTTTTTCTTAATTAAAGATACAATATTTAATTATAATACAATTAACCCCTGTAAGACATGTAAATTTGTTAGATGCACGATATACCTTCATTTTCAAGCCAAAACCTGTACTCAATGTTTTCACCAGCAGGGTATGTAATCCACTTTCATTCTTGGTAGATTAATTAAAAATTAAATATAAAAGTAGCATTATATAATAAAATAATGAACAGCTTACATCTCAACAACCCAGCACAACAAAGTGCAGAATTAATTCTTTTTTATTAATCTTTTTCATATCAATAGAAATCAAGGCCAGGAAAAAGCATACAGGTAACGTGAAACGTGTCTCAGTATTATTATTATGTGCTTTGTTACCTAAACGCTCCTATATTTTCTTCTTTTAGAAAAAGACTCGGGATTCCTGAGGATTGGCTCACTGAACGTTCGAGTGAAGAAAACGACAGAAGCCTTCAGCAACTTTTTGGGAGTTGGGACCAACGCGACACGTCTCCCTCCGACTATGAGAACTAGCGCACCACCGAATTCGGCCTACTTTGAGAAGTTGCACAAGAGTTGGGGCTCTGCCGACAATATACCAGTAAGTTCTGTCGTATCACAGTGGTCAAAGGTGTACCCAATCATGGTATAAATTAATAGCTCCTCGGGGTTGCATTATGGAAGTCTTGAGTGTTAAGTGAAGTTGATCCTTAGTACCAGGCCTTCATTCGGTGAAATCATTTTAATACAAAGTTCTGCTGTTGCTAAGTTTTTAAAAGGCATGATGTTTCCGGCAAGATTTAAGAGATTGTCATTTCGACCAACTCTTCTGAAGGTACTAACATTGCAAGTCCCTTGGTTTTAAATATTTTAAGCATTTTTTTTTTTGAACAAAAATGTCTATGGTCGATTTTTACCCAAAACACACATGGAGCATTAGACTGATGCAAAATTTAATTTTCGCTCCACAGTGGTTAATCGGTTTCAAATCGGGTCCTTATTAACGCCTTCAAATTTAAGCTCATTTGGTTAGAAACTCATTTGGCACAAACCATTTCTTAAACTAAAGTATTTGCAATGTTAATACCTTCAGAAGAGTTGATCAAAATTACAATCCCTAAAAACTTGCCGGAAACACGATCCTTCCATTATGCTTTATTAAAAGTTTGCAACAGCGGTGCCCTAGCGACAGAATTTTCTACTAAAATGATGACACCAAATGAAGACCTAGGTATTAAGGGTCAAGATACAAAGCTCCCATAATGCAACTCTGAGGAGCTATTAATGTATGCCACGATTTGATACTTCTCCGACCACTATGCATACCTTTGCGACCTGCAAAAATTGTTTCGTCAAAACGATTTCAATGAGATCCCATTACAGCATGAGGACGGCGTGATGCCACCACCCAAATATGGTTCCGTGAAAAAGCGTCGACCGAAGCGGGACGTTGAGTACGATCCGGGCAACGATCATTTCAGCCAAAGTGTGCCGACTACTCCTAGTCAGACACGGGCCCCAATTGGTATATTGTCGGAGAATCCCGATACAGAATCGGAAAACCCAGGTGATTCCGATTCGGATACAGCATGCGGCTTTGATTCAAATTGGAGACCGACATATCTTTGACAGTATGCTGCAGATTTCACACTAATCCTACTCAAATATTACAGCATTTATATTACTTAAAAATATACAAATCAATTCAGATCAATTAAAGCTCAACATGATTGTTTCCTTGTCCCGAGCACCTTTTACTACTACTCAGGGTTGAATTTATCTATAGGTAGGGTTACCATTTCAAAAATTGAAAAGGAGGATATATATTTCATTTCAATTTTAGAGAAAAAGGAGGACAATGTAAACATTTTGAAAACATATGAACTTTCTCAAAATTTATTATTTTCAAAAGGTGCAGTGTAGCGGAGTGTAGTCGTCATCAATTCAATTATAATCATCATTCTTTTAAGGGAAAAGGGGACGTCATTAATTTTTGGAAATTCAAAAGCAGTTTTTTCGTTACAACCCGAACTTCTGTCAATGAAATAGTGTCCACTGTGTTCCAGTAGGCAAGTAGAATCCAATGCACAAATTTTCGTGTACGTAATGTTGATTTTAAATATTTTAAAATTAATGCCGTTCCCTTTTGGTAATTGGTAATTTGATTATTGGGTTACGTCCAATTAAAAAGCAGTAATCCTTTCTAACGGATGCAATTTTCTAGCCTTCAAAATAAAGTATACTGTATCTGTCATATTAGGGTACTAATGCTGGATTTTTAGTCTCTCTAAACTCTGGTTGGCTAAATAATAAAAATTTAACGGTATTATTATGAGCTAAATAAGTTGAATCAGCTTAAACTTCCAATAATTTTAGAAAAACGCATCTTATTTGAGTACCATTTTTCAAATTGTTTGCTCATGAAGTACAATGAACTACATCTGTATTATTTTTTTCTAGTAGAAACATTTTTTTTTTTAATGTAGTCAGTTTAACTCTCTTGGGTCATTCGAATAATATCATTTCTGAATCCATGATAACAACTTCAATTTTTCAAAATTGCTTAAAATACACTACACTATGAGTTTTTTTTGGGATCAGAGAAGACGAGACTGTTGAACCAATTAAAATTTAATATATATTTTTTGACTACAAATAAAAAAAGTACGATTGGTTTGGTTGATTGTGCTTCAAGAAATTTCAATTTTAAAAACGGTGCTCAAACAAGAAGCGTTTTACTGAAATTAATTATACTTCATGCAGAGTCAACTCATCATCGCTCTAAAAAAACCGGTAAATTTTGAATATTTGATCAAACAGCAGTCCAAATTTCAGCATTTTAAATGTACTTACTAAAAAAATACAGCTCTTTCAACTTTTTTGGACTAACAAACATTTTACAATGAGCCCTTTAATATGACTTTAGAGAGGAGCGGATTCAAAACAAACTGCCTTGGCAACCTCTGCCTGGGATATTTCTGGCAACACTGCCAATGCAATCAAGATAGGCGCTGCTCAATTGGCTCTGACTTTGACAGTTCGTTTGGCTCAAAACCAGCCAGTCCGCTGATCTCTTATACTAGACCCTTTTTAATATGATCGGTTCTGTACATACTTGGAAATGAACTAGTGTACTTCTTTGCATGATAACGTCAGTTTAATAACTTCAAAACCTTTCAAATATGATGAGGTTGGGTCAACATAAAATGATAAAATTTATTTATTAAAATTGTGCTTGAAAATATTCAAGGATTAAAAAGGATGATGTTTTGAGGCAAAAGGAGGACATGTAAAAAAATGTTCAAAAAGGAGGACATGTCTTCCTTTAGGATACCAGATGGTAACCCTATCTATAGGTAAAAGAGGTAAAGAGGCCCCGTGAATAGAAGCCCTACATCCAAAATTATGCATACTTATTATTTAAAGTTAAATTTTAAAGGCTTGTGTACAATAATTTCAAGAAAAATATGGGTAGAAGTTGTCAGGCAGTTTAAAACATGAGATGTTTTAGTTCTGATAAAAAAATAAAAATTAACAGTAATCATAATTACTTACGCGCCTGAAGTTTTAGACCTCAAAAGGATAAACATACTATTATTTCTTCTGTTGAATCAAAGTGCATACTCAAATTTTACACATTCAAAAACTAGAACCAACTCCTGATCGATTGATAGTTGTTTTATGAAAATCAGCTGAGAACTTACGAAGATGGTAGTAATTTTATCTTTTTAAGCCGAAAAACGTAGGTAATTTTTTTTAATTCAAAACCAGTTTTTTTTTTGTCTATAACCGAGAACTTTATGAACTCATTTGTTCATTTCACTCGTACGTGACATCGACAGTTTTCAAAACAAAGACAATTCCAAATAGGTAGCTGCACCATCGGGTTTACCTCACTATTTTGACATCTGGTGATAGTTTGTTTGCATGTACTAGAAAAAAAAGAATTTTTCATTTTTTTTTCTTCTTTTATTTGTTTTCCGTCGATCTTGTTTTCCGTGCTGAGCACCAATGCTACCGACGCCAGGGAGGCAGCTCCCACACCTGGATCCTACCTATCGACCCATCAACTCATGAACCGGGGAACAACGGCTTTACTTCCCTTCCGAAGGAAGGCGTGATCAGAGATGTTATGCCTCAGAACATCCCGGCGACGCCGACTGGGATTGAACCCAGGCCTGCTGGGGTGAGAGGTAATCACGCTTACCACTACACCACCGGCGCCACTGAGATTTTTTCATTAAATGTTCTTTTAAATTTTTTAAAGATGAATATTTTTTAAAAGAACATAATTTTGGTTCTTTGTAACGGTCACTCCATGTTGTAAATATTAAATCAGTCAGTCACTCATTGTTGTAAATATCAAATTAGCTATAATTAAAGTAGGATGAAATGGATCCAATCCATACGCCAAAAACTACGCCAGTAGCGAAACGACACTGGTCGATTTACTATAAAAATAGAATATCTCGTGAGTAAAGCCACACGACCTTGTGCAATTTCTCCCAAGGCCGAGTCCAGTGAAATCTTCGGGAAAGTTGGGAAAAGAGAGAGTTGTGGCTACACCCGACATTGAACGAAGGACCAGCGATCGGAATAATCTCTCGCATTGCCGATCTAGTTCGAAGAAGTTCGCGGGAAAATCGAACTTCCGTTAAGTTCGGCCGAGGTCACCTTCCCTAATCTGAGGGTCACGGTTTCGCCTCACTTTCGTCCGAACCGCAGATAACAGAAGAAATGTGTCCTTTTTTTGTTCGCGTTATTTGATAGTTTTGTATAGTGAGTTAAAGCAACGTGGTTTCACTTTATACTTGAATTCTAATTTCTCCTCGTTGATTGTTTAGTTATAGTTATCAATCTAAAAGTAGTGTGCGTCATAGGCTAGACTTTGTGTGTGCAAAAAAACAAGCTAGACCAGGTAATGTGCTGCTCGGTAAAGAAAATCTGTGCAATGTGCTTAATGAAATTTTCAACAGCCGACGGCTACATCCTCTTCCAACGCCATCATCTGCATCCCCGGGGCGAAAGATTCCGGCAACCGTCACCTTGGCCGGTGGAAAGCGATCCGCATCCACATCGCTTGTCGGGGCTTGGTGGTTGTCAAGCGCCGCCTGTGGTAGAATTACCATCCGTCCAACCACGTGGAAATCGTTGGCCGTTTAATCACCAACGGTCGAACGCTAAGTAGCACCGTCGCCGCCCGTAACAGCAGCGCAGCAGTCAACAGCAGCATCATCAACTGGTGAGTCCGTTCCAATTGTTTCTTTGTTGAGTGTGGCGTCCGGCGAGGGCGCCACGGAGGACCTTTTTTGCCGACCATCAGGTCGAAGAGCATGAATTGCTAAGATTTGGATAAGTCCAATATTTGTGAGGTTGGGTGTCGGCAGGACAACGTGCACACGTATTGTAATATATGGATGCCCACCCAACCCTTTAATGTGAGACACCCGGGTGCCAAGCTTTGCCGTTCCCCGCTTGCTGCATCGTCGTGAGATTAACCGAGAAGAAAAACACAAGAGCACAGCACAATATGATAGGTAGATAGAAGAACCGCACGCACACAAGTATAGGTAGAGGAATAGAATAAAGAGGAGTAGGAAAATACAAGCAATTCAAAGTTCTGAAAAGCATGAGTTTACAATAAACCTCAACTTACCGTTTTCCGTTATAAAATGAATGTTTGATTTGAATTGAATGTAATGTTGTTTTTTTTTTTTTTTTTTGTTAATTACTTTATTTGTACAGGCTCAATCGAATAAACTTTACAGAGCCAAGTTATCATTTTCTTTATACATTATAAATGTCTTAAATCTAAAATTAAAGGATTGGAACCGATTACTCGCGGTCTTCTCGAGGTTAGTGGATGACAATTGTTTGGATCGGGAGAGAGAAAAGGAGATTTGGAATATGATTTATGATTCAAAAATGTCACTATTTCTAAAACATATACTTAATCCTATCGACGTTATATCAACTCTGTAATTATACAATTATTACAGAAACAAATCTACAAAAAAAATACACACACACACATACAAAACACAAACTAAACACAAGGTTAATCAAACTTACAATCTATGGTTAATATTCTTCAAGAAAACATATATGAGTTGCATAAACTCCAGATCGCGTCTAGCCAAAATATCCCGAACTGGAACATTAGGTTGTCTACCTCGAGCCCGAAGGGAATCGTACAACTCGGATCTGACTCCACGGTGCTCAGCACATGACCAAATAATGTGATCTGCGTCCTGGTAACCTTGTCCACATTCACAGAGATTACTGTCCCCCAGCTCAACACGGAACAAGTGAGCGTTTAATGAGTAGTGATTGGACATGAGGCGAGACATCATACGAATGAAGTCTCGACCCACATCCAACCCCTTAAACCAAGGACACTTCGACACCTTAGGGATGATTGAATATAACCATCGTCCCAAACTCCCTTCACTCCATTTATTTTGCCAGCTGGCGAGTGACTGTTGACGATAAATGAAGAAAAATTCGTCGTAGGCGATTTGTCGATCGTAAATATCGCCTTCCATAGCGCCCACCTTTGCAAGCGAGTCCGCCTTCTCATTGCCCGGAATCGAGCAATGAGATGGGACCCATGCAAAGGTGATGACAAAAGATCTTAAAGATAAAGCACTTAGAAGCTCTCGTATTTTCATGAGAAAATACGAGGAGTGCT